AAGTGCGTTCAAACTTGAAAATATCTGCTGATTCGATGAAGGTATCTTATGATAAGAGATCTACTGAAGTCAGCTTTGAACCAGGAGACAAGGTGTGGTTGTATAATCTAATCCCAGGAAGACCAAAGGGATGTCTCCTAAGTTGTCTTCTCCATGGGAAGGCCCATATGACATAGTGGATCGTCTCTCAGACGTGACTTTCCGGGTAAAATGTGGTCGGCGAGGTAAACCAAAAGTGGTGCATGCCAACAGGCTTTGGCGTTTTCATGGTCCAGGACATTTCAGTTGGGACGAAGTGGACCACAGAACAAAGGACGCTGCTGAAGACGTGACACCTGAAGAAGCCACTGTCGAAGAAGAAACTCTACTCAGTTTTGAGAAGGGAAACGGTGAAGCTCTTGATGAAGTTACTACCACTGATGTGACTGCTACCGATGATAGGACATTTCCTGATGAAGAAGGTGAACCCCACGTGAAGCAGAAGCCAACGAGACGGAGACCAGTACGGAAGAAGATACGTTCCGTAAAATTAAGAGACTTTGTTGAATTGTAATTTTGTGTTTGTAATTCTGTACAGTAATTAAGTTATTGTTAATTGTTATTGGTTTATTGTATGTGGTTATTGTTCGGGACGAACAATATTAAGGAGGGGCAGTGTTGCGTCAGCGAGTCACATGACTACTGTGGCGCCCTCTAGTTTCTAGAACTATCTTGTTCCTTCATGAATGCTCTAGTATTTACTAGATAGGGTAGTCTGGTATATATAAGAGGGGGAAAACGTGACGCGGAAAGGTAATGTAATGTGTGTGTAGATAGTGAGTAATTGAACTGCAGTCACAGGGTATTGTTGAAGTTAACGTTCGTTCGTTCGTGATACTGTTTGTTTTAGCGCGAATATTGAGATTAAGTGTATCGCAGAGTTACATTCGGAAAGAATAAACCAGTTTTATTAAGTAAATACTTGTGTCGCTAAAGCTTCGTCGGAACGAAGTTACGGAGAGTTAATTAACAAACGGAGACGGAACAATATATACAAGACTAACACATATCTAGTAAATGCTAGGGCATTCATGAAGGAACAGGCTATTTCTAGAAACACGTGGCGTGATACTAGTCACGTGACCTCGCTGACGCAACAATACTAATCAATGTTACAATATAAAATATCAATCCAGGTTTAATAGTTAGCACACACGATCACCTACAAGAGTTGTAAAATTTTCAAATCGAGACCCAAAACTCAGCGCGTTCGAATAGTTGACTATTCTTCATCAGGAGAATAATGGGTTATATTTAATAAGTGTGATGAAATATATAGGCCCGGATATCGATGTCACGTAAATCGGATGTTCAATATGAATTGGCCTCGAGAGCTAGCCAATCATAACCTAGAGTTGTTTGTGTCAGGTTTAGTTTTGTGCCAAAGTGGTGTGTAAAGTTCATAAAAGATTGTGTGGGATAATAGTTATAAGAATTTTTTATTAATTTCTATAAAGATAAAATAAAAAATTAAATAACGGCAAAAGGCGGTGGGAAGTAGAGAAAATAATAATGTAGCTCAATGTACAGGAAATCAAAGCAATATATATATATATATATATCGAAATTTAAGGAAGAATAATACTAAAAATATAAAATAAATTTAATAATGAATTTAGTTTTGAAAATATTTTCAGAGACTTGCGAAAGCCAACAACCCCAGGATCGAGATTGATACCATTTGGCGTTACAGTATTTAACAATGTTATCCAATAAGCTTCTTTAATTTCCCTGTTCCTGTTAGATGTATTTGTCTCCATACCCATAAGTTTAATGTCTTCAAGAGAGTGTCCAGGCATGTTAAAACCACCCAAGCAGTGTGCTCATGCTAGTGGTAGGGCAAATATGATTTTAGGTTATCTACAGAAATTTTGAATATAAGTCTAAAGAGGTTATAATTTCAGTGTACAGGACACTGGTTAGCTCACATTTGAAATATTGCGTTCAGTCTTGGGCTCCTTCCCTTAGGAAATACATTGAAATGTTGGAAAGGGTTCAGAGAAGGGTTTCTAGAATGGTGCCTGGGAGAGAGGGGTTGTCATACGATAAGAGGTTGAAATCTCTCAAATTGTTTTTTCTTGAAAAAAAGAAGAGTTAAGGGGGATCTGATTGAAGTGTTTAAGATTGTAAAGGGAATTAATAGTGTTGATGCACCATCTTTTTAATATTTAACAGTGAGAATAGTAGCACTAGCGGACAGAAATATAAATTTTAGCAAGGTAGGAGTCATCTTCAGTTAAGACAGTTTCATTTTTCTAACAGAGTGGTT